GACATGATTAAATTTCTTTTCTGTGTGAAGGGAGTTTTCTGGCCCTTGCCGCCTCAAATCTAGCGAGGCATGACTTGCCCCTTGCTCTGAGAGCTTTGCTTAACCACAGAGTCACTTTGGCTCTTGGAAGAAGCCAGGGCAGAGCCAACCTTGAGGCCCATTCCCAGGATAGAGGGCAGGGGACAGAGCACCGAGCCCCTCGGGGGCAGGACGAGGCGACAGACCTGGCTTTGAACCTCGGCCCTGTCACTTAAAAGTTGTGTAACCTCAACCAAAACACCTCCCCTCTCTGGCTACATATCATCAACTCACAGGACTCTTTCAGCTCCATAACAGTACAGGATCACTATTGACTATGCAGTCCTTCACTGACTGAAAGATTGTCCTGTAGCCCATGAGTGTACATACAGAAAGGTCTGCAGACCCAGAGAATGTGGTACTTCACAGTAGTGAAATGGTGACCAGCACTCGGCTCAAGGGACAGAGAGCCCCAGCATTGCTCCGTTGACCCAGCTCACTGTCCCAGAAGGACTTGGGCTCACTATCCCAACTTCCATCATCACAGCTCTCCTTTAGGTACTTTATCAATGTGGACTCCGACTATAGAATTCTTCCTGTCTGGCTTCTCAGCACTAGGTCATGAGATACAGCTCTATGGTTGTGTACGATTATAGTCCATTCTTTTTTTTTTTTTAAATTTTTCAACAAATAATACACTGCATATATTCTTCTTAGTGGTTATAGTCCATTCTTGCTGCTGAATGGAAGAGCACTGCATTAATGAATGATAATTTATTTTCTATTCTCCTATTTATTTTTGGTCTTTCTGAGACAGGGTCTCGCTGTGCAGTTCAGGCTGGCTTGGAGTCACTTTGTAGCCCAGGCTGGTCATGAATTCACAATGATCCTCATGCCTCAGCCCCATGTGTGCCTGAGATTGCAAGCATGTGCCGCCATACCCTGCCTCTATTCTAATACTGAGGGGTGTTTGGGTGGCTTCTGGTTTGGGACTCAAGATGGATAAATTAGACCATCAACCTGATTGCCTGGGAGTCACCCAGGGGACTAGGAACTAGTCCAGGTATCCATGGAGATTGCCTTTTTACTCTTACTGGGTCTTTCAATAAATTCGGTGGAATTTTATATCCAAATTTTAGTAGACTCCAGTTTATCAACCTTTCCTCTTTATTGTTAGCATTTCTTGTACCCTCCAGGTAAGCCATGGATTCCCTGGCATACTACCACTGTTAACTGGAATAAAAACTGGTAGCATGCCTCATGTGCATGCCTGTAATCCCAGCACTCATGGGCTAAGGCAAGAGGGCTATCAGTTCCAGCCCAGGTTTGGAAACAAAGATTTAGACCCAGTGAGACCCTGTCTTAAAATTTAAAATCAAGGACTGGGGAGATAGTTCAGTGGCATGAGCGCCTGCCTGGCAAACACAAGGTCCTGGGTTTGATATCTGATAAAATAATATTATAATTAATTAATTAATTAATTAAAAAATACAATAAAAAGGCTGGGGTGTAACTCCATGCAAAGGCACTGGACTCCATCCTCAGCATTGCAAAAACAAACAAACAAAACCCTTGTGTGTCAGGGTGGCTAAAATGGAGCAGCCAGAGGAAGAGTATGAGAGGTTGACCTGGCCACGAGGGTAGCAGGTATCGCTGGGGTCCCAGGTGTGTCTCTGCAGCCCTCACTTCTGTGATCCAGCACCTGCTTCCTGGGGACACTTACAAGTCTTTCTGCTCACAGAGCTCCCTCAGTCTGCACATGGGACAAGCCACAAGCATGAGACACAGCCCTCACTCTGTAGCTCTCCTAGTCCCTCACTCTAATGAGACCAGGGATTGATCATTTGTTTGTTTATTGCTGTACTGGGATTGGAGTCAGAGCCTTTGCACCAATCTACATCCCTGGCCTTTTTTTTTTTTTTTTTTTTGCTATGGACTCTTACTAAGTAGTCCAAGCAGGACTCAAACTGCTAACCCGCCTGCCTCAGCCTCTCAGAGAGCAGAGATGACAGGCGAGCATGCAAGTACCTCCATGCCCAGCTGAAGTGGGCTCCTCAGTCCCCCCAAAACTCCCAGTAGATCAGAGCTCCAGCTGTTCATGGCAGTAGCTCAAAGTAGTAAAAGACAATGCTGGATGATCATAGGGAATGTGGTGGAAAAGGATTGAACTCCATTCGTACAGAGGTATTTATATGACTCCCCTCTCCAAAGTCTGGGCTTTGAATCCTTAAGGCAGTTCAGGGGGTGGAAATAACTGAGCACGGATTCCAAAAGTCTTGCTCTAGCCCTAGGACTCTCTGGCAGATGTCGCTGGCTCTTTCCAGCACTCCTTTTACCCAGATCTTGCTACAATATAGAATCCCGAGTCTCCCTCCCTCCAGGTGACTGTCTGGTGAAGGATCCTCTAAATTAAAAGAGCTGTCTGGAGGGCTCCCAGCCTGCCGTGGTATCACCACCACGTGGTCCAGCACCACGTGGGAGGTACTAAGGAGACAAGGGCAGCGCACACTCGCACCCCTCTTGATCGCCAAGGTCATGGCCAGGCAGCTCTGGGCTGACATTCCAACTGCTCAGCTCTCACTAAAAGAAAAGCAATGAGGCTGGTGAGATGGCTCAGTGGTCTAAAGCACCTACTTAGAACAAGCTTAGCGAAGCACAGGGACCACGGTTCAATCCCCCAGCACCACAAGCCAGCCAGCCCCGCCCCTGGTGGGCCGAGCTGGCCACACACACACACACACACACACACACACACAAAAAAAAAATAAAAAAAAAAAAAAAAAGAAAGAAAAGCAATGAATCACAAGATAAGAAAAACTGCCTGAGAGCCAGAAACCTATTTGGAACAACCAGTTGTGTCGTGAAGTACCTTGGGCCAGTTCATGAGATTATTTAATTTTCTCTGCTTCTATTTTTCAAAACCAGAACATGTTGATTCTGCCCACGAGGTGCACTTGCCCCTCTGCTTGTCCTGGGTGGTAAGTGGCCCGTGACCACAACCTTCCTTGGGGAGTAGCTTGTGCTTCCTTGGTTGGATCACTAGAGCCACATTTGCTTTTAATCATACAATTCTCTGGAATTATCTTTAGGGACTGTTCAGTCTCACAAAAAGGGAGCAACAGGAGGGGCTTGCAAGATCGCCGGGAAGGGCCCAGATCGCATAGCCATGAAGAGCTCCCGCCTGGTCTTTCCCATTCTGCTGGCCTTCCTGCTGAGTAGCCGCCCTGCAGCCGCCACACGTAAGTAGCTGTCTGTCCCCGTGGGCTCTGCATGTGGACTCCCTCCCAGGAAGGAAGGATCCCTCTAAGATCCCCCTACCCCTCATTGTTTTGAAAGGAAGCAGTGACACAGCTGAGTTCTGCTGCTTTCGCTACAGCACGAAGATCCTGCCGTGGAGCTGGGTGCGTTCCTACGAGCTGACCAGGAGTAGTTGCTCCCAGCAGGCAGTCATGTAAGTGCTACCCAGGGGCTCTGCCCCAGGCATGCCATTAAAGGGCAGGTGCGGGGCCTGGGCGATAGCTCAACAGTCTAAGCACCTATCTGGCAAGCATAAGTATGTGGGTTTGATTCCCAGCGGTACCACGTGGCATGTTGGCCACATGCATGTCTGTAATCCCTGTGCTGAGGAGGCTGAGACAGGAGGATCACAGTGAGTCTGAGCTGCATAGTGAGACCCTGTATCAAATAAATAAACAAAAAATAAATAAAAAGATTAAAGGACAGGTGCAGGGCAGACCTTATGGTGGCAGGATGAGCTTCAGGAACCTGGGAACTCCTCTACTGCCTTTGCCACACCACATGTGACTCTTCCATGTGCCCAGTCCTGTGCCAAGAACTGGGTGTAAAAGAGCCATGGTATGCACACCTGTAATCCTTGAGTTCAATCCCCAGGACAGGGAAAAAGGAGAGAGAGAGAGAGAGAGAGAGAGAGAGAGAGAGAGAGAGAGAGAGAGAGGAGACCTTTCTAGATCTTATAGTTTTGCGTAAGAAAAGTGGTAGAGATATTGACACAAAATATTTCATCCAACTGTGATGGGTGCTTAAAGGAGATAGCAGGAAAGTGAGACACAGAGATTAGTGTGCAAAAGCGCTTGCCTCAGTTCCTGAAAGACCAAACTTGGGATCCAGAAGGCTCCCCAAGGATGTGAGATTTATGCTAAGCCCCACAGGATAAGTGGGACACCAGGAGAATGGCAAGGAGGTGGGAGGATGCTCCGTTCAGGGGAACCACAGATGCATCGGAGGAATCAGAGGTGGGGGGCAAGTGTCCCGACCTGGACAGGGCAGAGAGGTAGCAGGGAGCGGGTCCCACAGTGCTCATCCATTAGGAGAGCTGAGCCAGTGCAGCTAACAGGGCTCCCAGGGGGACTGGAAGAGATCACATATGCAAATCGCTTAGCCTTGCGTCTGTATAGAGCAGGCACTAAGAAACAGAAGCTACATTTAAATGCAAGTACAAAGTGGGAAACCAGCCAATGCTCCCCAAGGGCGGGGAGCTGCTGAAGGTCTGAAAGGATGTAGGGTGGGAGGAGCCGGGCAGTGGGGGGGGGGGCTCTTCAGTCTTCTGAGACAGAGCTGAGGGTGGGAAGAGGGCATGGGGGAGATGGGGGAGGAGAAAGGGGAAGGGGTGCCCCGGGGCTCAGAGCACCACACTGTCCTCAGGTCTGGAGTGGATTTCCAGGGTTTTAAATGCATTCATAGGAGCCAGGGAGATAGCTCAGTAGAATAAGCACTTGCCTGGCAAGTGCAAGGGCCTGAGTTCAATCTCCAGTTCCTCCAAAAAAGAAAAAAAAAAAGTGTTCATGCAAATGAGAAAAGAAGGAAAACATGAAAACAAAGTTTTATAAATGGGGAAGGGAGGAGGGGTGGGAGGGAGGATGGGGGGGATGAGAAAAAGGAAGAAAATCAAGGTAAGAACTTTCAACAGCTTTTCAGGTGGATGCTTGCAATACAAAGGGTTCATACTAAAACAGTTAAGATTTTAAAAAAAAAAATTTTTTTAAAACAACAATGAAGACATCCATGCTTAGCCAGCAGCTTGCAAAGCCGTGACATTGGTGCCTGTCAACACTGTGACCTTGGAAACGCCAGGCCTCTGCATTTACAAAAAGGAAGCAAGAGGTCTTCATCAGTCATCTAAGGTCACATAACAAGCCACCCCAAACTGAGAGGCTGCCTGTGGGGACACTAATGTTCTTATTTCTTGTGGTCTCTGTGAGCCAGGAATTCCAGAAGGCTTGCAAGGCTGGGAGGTGCTTGCTTGGAGGCCTGAGGCTGAAGTCAGAGGCTGCCAGAGCTTGCACAGCTGGGGCAGGCCAGTGGTGGGGGACCTGTCCCTAAGGCCTCCTTGCTATGTGGTCTCTGCCAGCAGGCGTGGCGTCCTCCCAGCCCGGCGCCCAGGGTGGCAGGACTTCTCACAAGGAGGCTCAGGCCTCCAAGTGCTTTCCCACCTGATGTCACATAGCATCGTGTTTGTATCCTCCCAGCCAGCCAGTCCCTAAGCATGGCTTCAATTCAAGGGGAAGGGATATATGTGGTGTGACCAAAAAAAATACTGTGGTAAATCTTCTTTTTAAAAATCTAGGGGCCGGGGAGTTAGCTCAGTAGAATAAGTGCTTGCCTGGCAAGCGCAGGGGCCTGAGTTCAATCCCCGGTTCAGGAAAAAAAAAAATCTATTATGAGGGCCAGGGAGATGGCTCAGTGGAATAAATGCTTCCCTCGCAAGCGCAAGGACCTGAGTTCAATCCCTGGTTCCACAAAAAAAAAAAAAAAA